CTCAATAACGTTATGCCCCTATAATTGGAGCATTCCTTGTGGTCTCCCTTCTTGAATACGGGTATAATAATTCCCGTTCTCCAGTTTGCTGGTATCTTTCCCGCAGTCATCACAGTTTGACAGACACGTGTTAGCCAGCACATGGGCTGTATGCCTAATGCCTTGAGCATCTCAGGGCGGATTTCATCAATTCCAGTAGCCTTTCCATTTCTCAAGCTTTTCACAGCTTGTGTAATTTCATCTACAGCGATAGTAATATCCGTACCTTTCTGCTCTACAGGCGAATCTTCCTGAGGCTGCGCGGGGCTAACGAGTTCCTCAAAGTAGTCATCATCCTTGGTAAGAGCGTGTCCACACCTGTCCATCAAGACTCTCCGGAGCCGGCTGATGGTTTGCCATAATACTTTGTTTGCCGTATGGGAATTTGACTCCAACACCTGACCGAACTTCTCCCAAGAATCAGCTTTGACTTTCGCCATTGCTTTCGCTGCCGCCTTGCGTGCCTCGACATATCGCACACGAGTAGAATGCTCTCTGTTTCCAGGCGATTTCTTGAACGCTGCTTTCTTCTCTTAAACTGCCAGTTGTACCTTTCGTGTCTACCATGAAGATCTTTTCTTACCTCCAACAGGCAGACCAACCCGTTTAAATCCGCAGCATTCGGCTGCAACCTCTAGTATACCGCTGTTTAGGAGCTGCCACTCGTTTCCACATCAGTTGTCATCACTGTGATCTGTTCAAACCGTCTTGCGATGTTGTTTGCAAATTTCGCTCTCGCGTGTACCGAGGATAACATTTCCTATTTGATTCAGCGGTTGCTTCTGCCTCCAGATGTAAGTATGGTACTGCATTTCTTACAGCGCAGCCTGCCAACAACAGGTTGATGATCGGTTGATAGCTCTGCGCCTCTCTTAACGCGAACATTCATTACTGAGCGTCTTAGGTCAGACGATACGATTGTCCAATCGATCATCGACTTCTGTGCACAAGCTTCCCGGTACCAGGATGTCTGATGCACTTTTCGATGCTCGAAGAAGGTGTTCATAATAGACAATCCGTTGTTTGCACAAAACCGCAAAAACTTCATACCGTTATTGTTGAGGTAGCTAGGGCCGTTTTTTTCCAGTCATCCGTTCCACGTTTCATCGTCTACTCTGATATGCGCATTGAAATCGCCCATCAGTATAAAGGACTCTGTATTCGGCACTTCAGACAGAGCACACTGCACTTCCTCAGAAAAGGTGACATATTTTTCTTCGAAATTGGGCGCATAGACCTATTTCAAGATCATCGATTTAGCCTGTTGTTGTTTCAGTCGGTTGATTACCACCCTTCCGTTGACAGACTTCCAATCAATAATTATGTCGGCATGGTTAGGTTCTACCAGGATACGTTCACTGTCTTGAGCGCGCGTCGTGATACCGACACCTGAGTAGAATAGTTTCCATCCTTTGAGGTTCAGGAGTCCAGAGCCTTGGCCCTTCTTTGACGAGAGTCCAACTATGTCGAGTTGGTACCTTGCGACCTCAGCGACTAAGTCCTGCTTTTTCCCTCTGAGCGAAGATATGTTCTAATTTCCGAATGTGAGCTCCCACCGATATAGTTATCGTTTCCGTGGAAGCTTATCCGAGTTACGTATATCATCGTGCTGTTTACCTCCTCCATTCAGCATAGGCAGCGGCTCCGTTGTTGAATGTCTTCATCGTCTTATCCATTTTTGGTAGCCATCACCGTGCTGCTATGCTTCCATCTGCCAGTAAGATTGAAGAAAGTTCTCATAGTCGACTTTTCACCGTCTTTTTCAGTTAGCCAATAACCTGCGCGGCAACTGGTTACTCGAAAGACGACCAAGAGGCACCAAGCCTTCGCTTTCGGCAATATCCTGAGGGGCAAGTGACTAAGTTTTACGGAGACGTCGCCGCGTTTCACTCGGCGTTTCTCATCCGGGCTTGGGACCGGAAACAGCGGAGTTGCTCTCAATGGGATTTTCTGAAGTTGATGGCACGTGATGTACCTTTATGTATTCTGGATGTGGTCTTTTACACTGACAGCATATCATCTGATAATTCACAATTATACTGAGTTTAGGTTTTGCTTATGTCACTTCGAGATGGTCAGACAAACTGTCCGTTGAGAGGTGCCGCTTCGGTTTTTCTATCGTTCTGTATTCCTTTCGTTTCAGTTTGATAGGCATTTTGTTATGCTTTACGTCGCTCACCTTATATTAGAGCCACAGTTTCCGACCGATTTCTTAATTCACTGTCGATTTTTCCATTATCTTAACGGATGGAACCAGTGTACTTTGATTCTCTGACTAGCGAACTACCACTGCCTTGACTAAATTGCTTTCTTTGTGTTCACCCCACTGAAATGGCCCACAGTGTATTCCTCCGTTTTGCTAAAGAACTCTTTTCCATGACTCGTTGTTTGTTTTGTACGGCTTTTCTGTTTTCACTGGTCAAAACAACGTCAGTTGCATAGAATATGCTGCTTATCATTATTTGTTGCGTGTGTCGCTATCATGAACAGAAATGGGTTTAGTCCTGAACACTGATGGGATTTTACTCTTACGGGAATTCTTCGGTTTTGTCGCGTGTACTTTAAACTGATTGCTACTCTGTCGTACGTGTGTTCTGGTACCAGCTTCTTTCTCATGCTCCGCCAAAACTTTGTCTAAGTCTGAAAACACTGTGAATGTTCTTACTGCTTGTCTGGGTGTTACGAAAACTATCTTAAAGCAAAAATGGTATCCGTCATTGACCAGCCGGGATAGGCTAAAATATACAATGGTAATATATTGAGCACATTTTTAATAAATAGATAATTAAGGTGGCACTGAGTTATTGATGTCTTGTCGTGAGGCACTGAATATTCACGATTGTAAAGTAGCAGGTATTGGTTTACTAAGTATGGGTGTTTAGTTATGTAGACTAGTTTCTAACTTTTCTGATCACCTTTAATGATGACTTTAAATAAGTCTTTTTTTCGACCTGGCGTTCCAGCCTCCCTATCACTTTGATAATTGCTTGATGTTTATTCGATTAACTTAATTGAATAGAGATATCTGAACCAATGAATTTCAACTTTTTAATGAGACATAATGTACAGCACAACTTTTCGCGAAATTGATTATATTGCGAAATCTAACTATTTACTGTATTTACTTTTGTCATCATATCTGTAAGCTTTCGTACTGCCCCAGTTGCAGTATTTTGATTTCACTGATGATTCATGAAAAAATGTTTTCCCCATATCTTGGGGAACCTCTCTGATACCCTCATTTGCATCGTGACTAGGGGTATGAAATTACACACGGTTGCACGGAACATGAGAATAAATTTATGGTGGTCGTGAGTTTGCTAGTGTTGTCGGGTCTGCGCATTGTCGTGCCTTGGAAGCCGATCAGCAGAGCCAGCCAAAAATGAGGAAAACAGAGTTTGTCACTGAAAATATTGAAATCTGTTATGCAGCGATCTGTACATTGGAAATGCGTACCAGATGGTAAAGTTGCCATGTGCAATTGACCAGTTGACTAAGTTGCTACTTGTCTGTGATTTTCTTCTTCCGTTCGATTTTATTTGAATAGTTACTTAATTGCTTACGCTGAACCCAGTCCGACGTTTCTTTTACCTAGCTAGCTGCAGTGTCAGATTTCTTTGTAAAAATCGGGTCGGCTATTTTACTGAAAGCCTACGATGATAACCACTGATATGGTGTCATCCAAATGCTGTTCCACAAAACGAAAGGCATAAATTATTAATCACAGAGGTTTAACGATTAGGCAAGCAGCTGGCGAGGTCCAGCCTGATTTTTTCGACCGGCGGCATAACCGGCTCAGCGTCGACTACGCCGAAGCCGTTTCAGCATTACGACTTAGGCTACGAAAGTCTGTTGTTACCGAAAGAAATGTTGAGGTTGATGATATATTTAAGGTTACTATATTCAGCAGTTATTAGAGTAATGATGCGGTTGCTTTCTGGTGTTGCTCGCTGTACTCGACGCTACTTGTTCATCGCGTTTTAGTAGGCCGAACTGCATCTCCTGGTCGCATCTGCTACAGACGCTTCTTCAAATGCTGCAGATCGTCATCTCGTACTTCCTGATGCTGATCTTCATGACCTACAATGTGTGGTTGTGCCTTGCTATTGTCGTAGGCAGTGGTGTCGGATATTTTCTCTTCGGTTTCGAACGTTCGCCCTTGTCGTTTCAGGCTGAAACATGTCACTAAAAGCCGCCCATTTACCAGTGATTAATTACTCTGTACCTCGAGTCATGATTTTTTTTGTTCTTTCTCTTTGGTGTTCTTGCTAACTGTTGTGTTGCTGTGATTTCTGGGCATTTGAAGAAAAGTTTCGAGAAGGGAACTCGCGTGATCGACTACGTCGAGGAAAAGAACACGTTTAAAATAAAAGTTGCAAACATCGCAAAAGCTATACATCACTGGTACACATGCCACCGCAAACGTCCACGTACGGTGGTCAAGCAACATGAAAAGTAGTGACGGCGTTCTTCACTGGCAGTGGTCGTCCAAGCTGACGGCGGATTTGCGGCTTTTGCCGAACAGGAAATAGCCGCAACCGTTGCCGAGCACAATCGCCACGCACAGCCACACATTGTAGGTCATGAACACCAGCATAAGCAGGTACGCGACAAGTATGTGTAGCATTTGAAGAAACGTCTGCAGCAGGTGGTACCACGAGCACAGGCCGCAGCTAGAACACCGTTCAGTTTACACTCGCGCCGGTCGATATGCGATCAGCGACATTGGTAGGTAGTACGGCCGAGTGGCGGATGGTCACTAGAATCCATTTTTGGAAGGCATCACTCACCTTCTTACCGAAACTGCCGTTATACCTTCGACCGGCACGCGTAAGATAATTAAGAACTCCATACCGTGAAGGAAAGCTCACTACAAGGTATCGAGCAACGGCGAAGACCGATCAGGAGCATGAACTAACGGGGGTAGTAGTTTGCATTAAGATTTACAGGTGCCGGATTGAAATCCCGTGCGCAGCGTGAAATCATGCCCCGTTGTCATACCAGAGTGTACAAGACGTAGTTGTCTGATGTGTGCGCCCTACAGCAGCAGTTGGCGGCTAACTAACAGCCAGCACAATACGTAAACCATAAATAAGTAAATAAACTATGGTCGAGTCATACTCGAACGCTCCTTTGTCGATCCAGTTCACTCTTCGTGTATTCCAAAGGATCACCTGCTGCATGATGGACATCATGCGACTATAGAAAGCGAAGCTGTCATGCTTAGCACACCCCAAATGACCGTGAAAAGCGACAATTCGTTACTGGTCACTTTTGCTCTTCCGAACGCTTCGAACGAATGTCCAAGTTCGACGAAGCTCAATCCTGTAGGAAACAAACCGAGAAAAAGTTTCATTTATAAACAGAAAATGGAAATGCGACACAAGGAACCAGGTTGCAACTGGATCATATCCATTTCATCTGTCATGATGAATCTGACACAGCGGTCGCATTGATGCAGAGGGTATTTCGAGCACAACACGCTTCGCCAACAAGATCTTGAATAATGAAGAGCATCCACTGTACAAAGATGCGGTTAAAAGATGTTACCTACATAGTGAGACTGGTTAGAATTTTGTCTGCACACCCCGCGAGAACAGATCTGTCATTCCTCACCAGCCATAAGTTTGAAGCCAGAGTTGGTCAGAACCTCCATAGTGAAAACTGCACCTAGGCCAATGAGAAAGTCTGCTTACCGATGTTTTCATGAATATCCAATGTTCCTTGTATATGTGAACGAAGTGCGTTGAAAAACAATTACTCCTGTAACTGTTATAGCATAATGAACTTGCACTGCCACATAAACACGGTTCATTACGCTGATTCCACCGGAGCAAGAACCGTCGTGCAAATCAACTGGCATTTTGGAACTGGTTCCAAACAATGGATAACATCGTCAGCAGGCGCAGGCGTAACCTCACAGTGTCCAGCCCGAATAAACGTCCGTAAGTGTGTCGAAATGTGAATCAAATTTTCGAATGCCAGCAAAACAGTGGTCGTCCCGATGAAGCCAGCGATAGATGATAAACGACAACCAAGTATCTACTGTCGCATCCGTTTCGAGGAAAAAATACGAAAGCATGTAACCTTCGGAATATCGATCTTCATTACAATTTCACGTGTAGGCCATTTGGGGACCCTTTTCATGAAGTTACTAATGAGGCGCTTATCTCAAGTTTCATTTCATCGATCGTTAGTGCCTTACATTAGAGGCCGAGTCGACAACTCAGAGAGTGGTACTCATTAACCAATCTCTGAAGGAAGAAAGACGAATGGCCCGACCACGGACCTTTCGGCTCTGGATCCGACGCTCTAACAACTGAGTAGTCGCAGTCAGTCACACCCCTTGCACACCAACACACGACTACGACAGGACTGTGGCTGACCAGGGCTGCCAGTTTCAGTCAAAATCTCGTCCCCTGCACGACGTTTTCGTGCCATGTGTTTACAGCTTCCTTCGCCACTGTTCTCAAAGTGATTCAGAAATTTTACTAATATTTAGACGATGGATGCATCCAGCTAGCGGCATCGCTAGAGCTCGCGTAAAACGCCATACTACCATACATACCATAAGGTGATAATGAAATATTTAATCGACAATACACATTGATCTTGTCCATATTACAGAACGCGGATGGTTAAGTCGGAAAAGCACACCGCAACGATTCGGTAACCCCTTAGAACGTAATCACGGTTTCCAAGAATAACGTTATTAAAGCTAACCGTGAGTACAGTTATGTGGCTGTACGACAAACAGTCGCAATAGGCCATCGATGGCGGGAAAGAAAATCAGGGAGTATGCCGGAAAAAAATGACTTCAAAAAACAGAAGATCAATCAGACGCGTTTGATAGGACTAACAACTGCTTGCAACGAGATAAGGTTAATGACGCGACTAATGTCTGTCATCTGTCGATCCTTGGTGATGACCTGACACACGATAAGGTGAACTTGACACTGACGCCCAATAAAAAGTTCATAAGTGAATCAAAACGTTGACTCTTACTTTGATACGACTTTGGCGAAGAATTACCAATGAGGTAATGAACTCATGCAGTTAGTAGTGATGTAAGCTTCTAATATATCGAACTTCAACGAAGCAATCCGTTTGCAACATGTATACTCCTTTCACGTATATGTTTTAAGCCATCTAACAAACAACAAAACAAAATATAACAACTCAACAAAATATAACCACGATGGTCTGGGGTGACTACCAAGAATGACTGCCATCCGCCTTAAACTACGTAATATCGATTGACAGATTTCGCCGTGTAAACCCGGCACATCAGCAGTTGAAAGATTATATTCGCAGGCGGCGGAATCGGAAAGCCGCCATTCTTGATACTTACCCCAGAACATCAGATGCATGTTTTGTTATTTTCTCTGTATTTGCCAACGGATTACGGTAACTTTGTTGGTGCTCGAACGTGTTCATGTTCGGGTCAACTCAATCACGCAGTCTTGCGTACCGTGCATCGCCGGCGCCTAAATACCATGGAGCCATGAACTGCCTAAATACATAAATAGCCTGCCCATAGAAGCAAGTACGTTATTTCGGGTGAACCAGGTGCAATGACTGCAGTGCATCTTACAAGTAGGCCTGTCATTAATGATTGCAATGCGTCCGCAATATCGCTATAAAGTAACTTCATTTGATAGTTTTTGCTCTGTAAATTCGGTATCAACAGCTAAAAGATGAAATATGACTTCATAAAATTCTTCTAAACTCGCATC